GTTTACTAGAAGGAAATGTCCATTTCTTGAATTAATTTCCATTGCACAAACAAGCAGCAAATACTGTTACTGAAGCACAGAATTGGCATGATTTTTTCCCCCGGCCATTCACGCAAACTGCAAACCAAGACTTTTACCGCATCCATAGTTGTTGACAGCCGATGGATGATGATGGATGTATTGTGACGTATTTTGACCCCGGGATTCTGACCTTGCATTCTTGCCACATTTACTTCCTTTTCATACCCGTTCAATTTCCTTTCATTATTTCATCCAGATTCCATGATATTGTATAATTAAAACCAACCTTTATTTCACAGTCAATCTTGTTTTCACTTTTCTAAAATTATCTTACTGATGAAAAGACTGTTCACTCCCATCATGCAATCTCCCATAGTACTTCCGCAGACACAGTGGCGATTGCCAACATATCTACAAATAACCTCGCTCTCAGGAGCTGAGGAATGAAGGCTCCAGTGATCGCACATTTTCCAGACCAGCACTGTTGGGGTCATGGCTACTAACCGATTTGTCGCGGATTACTGATCACGCGTGAATTGTGTCGTGTCGTAATGTGACTCGTCACGTCTACCAAATACCAACGAAAAAAATAGTGGTATCCACGTTTTGGAGACTCACGTGGGCAATTTCATAAACGATACACTAATTCTTCTTAGAAGGCACACTAGTAAAATAAAAACCAGGCCAAATTAATCAGTGCTTAGCTTTTCTTATCCCGAGCTAATAAGTCTATAAGCGTTCACACACGTTTTTTTTAGCACGGGTTAAGGTATTTGAACGTTAGCCCGTGCGTGAACACTATCCCAAATTACAATCTGTATCAGACCGTACAGGAAAAGACTCCAATATCCCTTAGAAGGTACGTGAGTAGTTTATCTTTATTCAGCTACTGAAGGCCGTGCAGTAAAGGCTTTTTGTAGGACCCTTCTCGAGGCTAGAGTTCTAGTCAACTGAGTTTGGACAAAGAAAAAAAATGGCATAGACCATTGGTGGTGGCACGGGGGCAGATGGGCGGTCGTTCCCTCGAAAAAAACTGGGGGGGGGGGCTCGGCCCTCTAAAATCAAGCTGAAACCTTTTGTTTCAGCTAAATTTTTCTCCCAAAATGCAGGATATAGCACTTCAGATGGTCAACATTTTTTAAGGGGAGCATGCCCCCAGACCCCCGAGTCATACTAGATTAAAAGATATTGGTTCGATCTTCATTACCAATTATTATTTATATTAATTTATTTATTACTTACTTACCGTTCATAACAGGGACAGATTAAACTATCAAGAATAAGAGCTGCATAACACTTGTACACAAATACAAAGGCTTGCAAATAACTGAATAGACATCTTGTTAAATAAATTGCATAGTTTGATAGATTCAAGTTGTTATTAGTATACGTTAGTAACAAATTAATGGGTCAGAAAAGTATCTATATAGGCAACTAAACAATTCTTGACCTCCATATCAATATCCTCACACAGGTTTGAACCATAATTCTCTGATGTATGTAAAAGAATGAACACTAGCTCTTCATATTTTTTAATTTCTCTGAATTGATATGTTTCCATTTTTCTTATCAGAATTTCTCTTACTCCATCCATCATATTGTTTCTTTGTCCATCAAAAACTACATTTATACATAAAATGTTCTTATGTCTTCTCTTCCTCATTGCAACATGTACATGTTATGCCGGTGTTGTCCCCCCCCCCCATTTTCCCTTTTCATATGCCAGTCACGGTCCAAGAATGCATAACCTTGCTTTAATTTTGAGATGAGCTCCCTTAAAATTTGTTATAGAATGTAGATTTTTTGCTGGACGTTTCCTATAATGAATTAGACTGAATTTTCGGTTTCGTCACAAATCTGAATAAGATTTTTTTAATTTAGGAACATGGCTTAATTTCCTGCCGGTCTTTATCTTTTAGCAATTCAACCCTGGTTTCTATGGTGAATTAGTCTAGTGAGTGAAAACAACTAGTGACGATGATAGACGTTAAGTAATGTCATTATTTTTTCATACTGAGAAAAACATAAATGTTGAGAACTTGTTTCCGTGTTTACATAACTATTGTAAAACAAATAAAGCTGATTTTCAACTTTATGTTATGAGCTGGTTCTATTATTTATTTATATGATACATATTTACTTTTTATTACTCTATAATTGGACCAAGTGTCTCCATAGAAATTCTCCAGCGTAGCAATTGCATATTGTAATGGAAACCTGTGCATTATTGCATTATTAAACTACGATATTTGTTAACCTAGGTAGACCTTTCGGGTCGCCAGGTAGTGGTGGAATATTCCACTCCATATAATTATGTATTAGATGTACGCTTATTACATATATTAGCCTATCGGGTTGAGTATATAATATCACATGACTATTTTTGATTGACATGTACACATTCTGTAATTCTCTTCGAGCAGCATGGCGTTGATGTGATGGTTCATGGAGAATATAACTACTCCATGTGTGAATTGTTTTATTTAGATAACATCGTGAAGTGGTTGAACCGAGGCGGTACCAGGATCCCCCTGAGAAGAAAGTGCGTGCTGTGTGTCCGCTAAAACACCGTGCGACACGGTAGAAAGTGTCGTCGTTCATCGCCCCTAAATTACTAGGCCGGGTAACGTTCTTTTTGTAGTGGAGCCCCGAGTAAATTCCATTACAATATCACTAATGTGATGTGTATTCTTTTCCTAGGTGTGGTATCTAAAACAATCAACTAGTCGCGATGACAGACACTAAGTCATTTGAATGTGATATGGATAACGTGGACAATGATGTTGTAGCTGTTACAATAACGTCATTACCACATCAACCTATCGTCGAAAAGCACAATGACAAATATAAAATGGATTTGAAGTATGCCATAGATGATATCCCACCATGGTATGAATGTATAGCGTTCGCAGTGCAGGTAATGTGCTGTCCAGTCTTTATGATTTTTTAACTTGCGTATCATTTTACGAAATTGTACAGCCACAGTGGTGCAGTGCGTGTTAGCATCTAAACCAGTAAAGTTTGAAAAATTGATACATTCTGTTGAATACGCCACGTAGCGAATATTGAACCCGGCAAGGGCGATGTTTTCTCACTATAAAAAAATGAATGAAGCTGCCAATTAATATAATATTGAAATATTTATTAAAACACTGAAACTGATTATGTTTTGTTGTGTATTCGATTACAGCAACTGTTATCCATGGTCAGTTCGTCATTGCTTTTTCCATCAATTATTGTTGGTTTATTCTGTGTGGAAGATGGCATGAAAGACGACGTGTTCGCAAAACTCTTCAGTGCCGTTGTGTTCAGTGATTCAGTTGCAACATTTTTACAAGTGACTTTCGGATCCAGGTAAGACACTAGCAATGTAACCACCTAACTTGGTTGGGGA